CACACACACACACACACACACATACACACACAAGCACACACACATTAACATAAACACACACACACACACACATTAACATAAACACACATTTACACACGTATTCAAACACAAACAGAAACACAAAGACACACACATGCATTCATACATACACACACACAGACACACACAGACACAGACACACACAGACACAGACACACACACACACACACAAACGCACAAGTCCAGACACATAAATACGCCCCGTACATCAAACGTTAGATGACAAAACCCAACACATAATCATCCCATCGCTATAATTCGCGAGATAGCAGCAGTCTCCCTCAGAAAGCAAGGTCCAATATATTACAGTGACCACACCAACTTAATCATCATTATCAGCTGCCTTCTTGTCTTCAGGGGATAGGTTTATCAGTCGATTTGACCATTGCTCATGACGTCACGGTGGTCATTTTTGTGATATTGCTGTTACAGATGGTGATGGTCAATTCTTTTATCAAAGCGGCTATATCTCTAGCTGGTCATAGAAGGTCACTTTCTTAGGGACATTGTGTGAAGAGAAGGGTTGAGGAGAAAAGGTGTGTGTGTGTGTGTGTGTGTGTGTCTGTTTGTGGTCTTTGTGTGTGTGTGTCTGCGTATGTGTGTGTGTGTGGTGTGTGCGAACACTCACACGTACACATACACGCACATACACTCACACACACACACACACACACACACACACACACACACACACACACTCAAAGATACAAACATACAAGCACTCACACACAGATACACACACAAATACACACACACATACAAGTTAACGCGCCCAAAGACAACCCCTACATCCCCCCCCCACCTCCACACACACACACACGCACACACAAACTCAAATCACATACCCCACAACAAAGCAACGACACACACAGAATCAGATATTACATTATACATGAGCACTCCACGTTTATTGCTAATACTCTATAAATATTATCATCTCTATAAATATTATCATCTCTAATAAGGATTTTGACATGTATGAGCACTGGACAATGTCTAGCACGTTGATAATGCTATCTATAAAATGTTGGAAGACAAGGCGTTATCGAGAAAGTGCGCGACCTGGCATCGTTCGAAGTGAGACTCGCGAGAAGATTAGAGGCTATCACGACATTCCACCTAGTGAAAAGTCCAAAGAT